AATTTTTGACGCCGTTGTCGGGGATTGGTGGCGTTGCCTTTAGGTTTAAGAAAAGAGTTTAGATTAAAATTTCATTTCCCGTTTTCTACTTTTTTTTTTCTATGCTTCTGTGTTTTAGCTACTCATATTTGAGAAAGAATATGCGATCACAATGGATAAAAAACTAGTCATCTAGTTAAGTACTTTCGAGATCGAGATATGGGAAGGAACCAATCTCAACCTCCATAGAATTTTTGCAAAGGAACTCAACTACCAGCACCTACAAATCACCAAGGGCGATTCCAACCCCACATTAAAATTAGGAATCTCGACCCTAATATACCGCCTAACCGTTTGGTATTCGGAAGAGGATGCAATCCTATTCTCCCGCCTTAACACTACTTCAAAGATGAAGACATGAACGAAGATACTCTCTTCGTGCTTGACCCAAAACCTCCGCCTTCTCATGGAAGTTCGAGAGATGACTTAAGGAGTGCTAAACGCAAAGTTCTAAAAGGTGGAATCCGAGCTTACTAAGAAAATGGACGAGCTCGCAGAACAGTTTGCAAAACTAGCAAGCAATATTACTCCATTCCAAAATGACCAACGGATGCAAGAGATTGACAATGAGCAACAACACTACAGTGATATAAAAAAACTTGGAGAATACCGTTGATAATATTTCGGAGTCTCATGATTGGAGAATAGAAAGGTCAAGAGAAAAAATCCACGAGCTCACTACTTGTGTTGATGCTATAGACTTGCAGCTGGCAGAAAGCAAAGATCAATTGCCAAAATTCATCGAAAGACAGGAAGTTTTCTATTCTAGAAATAATTTTCCCTTTAGAGAACCTAATGATTATTCTAATGATGCAGATCTTGTCACCAAGTTCAAAAGACATAATGCTGAAAGGAAGATGAAATACTCTTTCATAGGACAAGAAACAAGAATTTAACGAGGAAACATCCGCCTAGGTATCAAGGTAATGAGAATAGAAATCCTATAATTTCAAACAACAATTCAAGTTTGTTGCCGGAAACGGAGACGGAAAAGAAGAGTTCACAATTGAGTCAAAGTCTCCTGATCCTAACAACCAGCAAGGGGAGAACGATTGATAATCTCTAAGAGACGATGAAACCATTAAGATGATCGATGGAGACCCCAATTTGACAATCAAACGAGAGTTTGCTAAGGAGTCCATGGCTGATCAAAAAGACTCTAATGCAGCAAACTACAAAAAGATGCAACTTAAAAAAACTCAAATTTCTTTAATAAATCCAATTC